AACCGTTTCCCGGATCTGGTCCACCACAATTTATGTCCTCACAACAACCGTTTCCCGGATCTGGTCCACCACAATTTCAGTCCTCACAACAACAAGGTTTCTCCAACCAACCTTCACAACAACAAATGTCCTCAACACCACAATCTTTCAATCAGTTTCCACAAGGACAGCAACAATACTTCCAGCAGGTTAATCAAGGTCAATATTCACAAAAGCAGCAACCACACACGTATCAACAACAGCAACAAATGAGAAGCGTTTCAAACCAACAACAGACAAGCGCTTTACCTCATGAACAAGTCATTTATGTAGAGCAACCTCCTCCTCCTTCTGTGATGGTAATGAATCCGAATCAGAATCAAAATCCGGGAATTGTTAACATTTCTTCTCATACACCCGTAATAGTAACTTGTCCGTATTGTAATAATCTCGTAATTACGTCGGTAACTAAATCTATCGGATCAACTGCATGGATACTCGTTATAGTTTTAATCTCATTGGTTTTGCTAATCTTATTCTTTTTATGTTTGCCGTTTGCTTGGATATCTTGTGTTTTACCTAGTTTTAAGAATAAAATTCAAAGCTGTATTTTTAAGAATAAAATTCATAGCTGTACTAGTTGTGGAAATACTCTTGCTGTTGTTAAAGCTTAAATTTTATTTATTTTTTTTTACTATAGGTAATCCTAGCTTTTTTAAATTCAAATATCAATTCGTAATTCGTATAATTAAAATTAATGAATTTTGTTTACAATTATAATTAAAATTAATGAATTTTGTTTACAATTATAATTAAAATTAATGAATTTTGTTTACAATTATATTGTACAGAATTGAACAAGATTAAGAGTTGCATAAATGCTGTGAGCCATGAGTAGAGAGAAAATGACAACCAAGTGTATTTATTTTAATATGTTAAATAAATGTGAAAAAATTTCTTAAAGAAATCATGATAATAATCATATGTGCCATAAGCATACGTATTAATGTCGCTAAAAGAAAACATACACATTTAGTATGTTTCCTTTTAGCGATACTCATATTATGAATGTTATGCAGTCAGATTTTTCTAAGTGCATTGTGACGGGACTATGTAAAAATTTGGTCAAACGTGCAATTGAAGAGGTATTGCATTTAGGGAGGTAAAAATCTATAAATATTAATTGGGCCCAAGTGAAGGCATGCAATTAGGGTGGCTTTTCATAGCGCGTGCATTTTGGGAGGGTATAATACTGTAATATACGGAAGGAGGTCAATAGAAAACAGGCAAATTTTTTCTTCGTAAAATTTTTTAAAACTTTTAATTCAAATATTTTAACAACTATCGAACCAAATTTAATAAAAATTTTTTTATTTTAATTCTATATAATTATAGAATCAAAATACTAAAAATTTTTTTAAGCTTGATTTAATATTTGTTAAGATATTTAAATTTAAATTTTTAAAAAAAGTTACTAAAAACAATTTGCCTGTTTACTATTAACCTCCCCCCATATAACGATAAGAGCACAAAAATTTTTGATACAGGAGATACACGAAACAGTGCCTTCGATGTTACACAAAATTGTTACACAATTGAAAGATTTTTATTAGATGATGATGATATAGTGATGATCATTAATCTACTGTTAATTTAATAGTAAAAACATAGAAAGCACAAGCTGCAATAATTCTTGAGCCAGCAAACCCATACAAATAAAATTATATTTGTCGGGTTCGTTATAATATGCTCTTTAGCGTAATAACGCTCTTTTTGTTTATTTCTATTGTCTTGAGCGTAGCGAAGGGAATAAAAAAAATACCAAAATTCTCGCTTTTGATATATATTATTAATAAAAAAATCAAATGTAATTTTGAATTTTATGTGCATATTGTGACACGTATGCAATAGTTGTATTTTTGATGTTTTTATTAACAATAAATCAAAAAAAAAATTCTTTGAGTTCCTTGCTACGTTCTAGACAATAGAAATAAAAAAAAAGAGCGCTATTACGTTAAAGCGCACATTATAACGAACCCAACAAATATAATTTTATTTGCTGGCTTAAGAATTATTGCAGTTTGTGCTTTCTATGTTTTTCTATTAAATTAACAGTACATGATAAAAAAAAAAAACTTAATGATCATCACTATATCATCTGCACTATGTTTGTAAATCAACCGATAGGATACACCGCAATAACTTATCTATTCTATTATGAAACGTGATTAATTCACTAAGCAAACTTGAAGCTTTCGTCTGTATTATAACATATCAAGGTATGTTTAGAAATAAGCATTGCGAAGTTACAATATCACTAAATTTCTTCTCTAAAAGGTGAAAAAACAAAAACGTTTAAAGAAATAATTTAGCAAGGTAAACATTGTTGAAGAGAAATAATTTATATAGTTCTTATTAAAACATTTCTTAAAAAATTCTTTTTAAAACAACAATAAATTAACCGGACTGCTATTTTTGTAGATAATAAAAAGCTTATAACTTAGTTACAAATAGCTATTCTAATAGAATAATAATGTTATATTATGAGAGTTCGTGCTAGACATTAATATTAAACATGAAGCTAAATGTGCAAAAGGTTAGATATAATAATATTTAAGGCATTTAAGCATTTATTTTGAATTTTACATTTAAAATTTGAATTAATTTCGCTTTGATTCATTTTTTCGTTTCTTTAATATTTGCCATTTGATTGGCTGATAAACATGTGATTGTCCGCGGGGACTTACATTTTCAGTTATAGTGGTATCACGTAAATTGGGCGCATACTAGAAATTTTTTTCCGATGATCCACATTATAAATGATTGGCTATTAAATGTTGTATTTATCGCTCCGAATTTACAACAGTTTTTGTTTTCCTAGTACTGTAGTAGGGTTGTATTACAAAAATTACAATTTTACATTTCATGTAATTTTGCGTAAATTTCAGTAACTTGAATTTCATG